TTCCCTATAAGGGGATAACTGGAGTCAGGGCAAAGTATAGGGGGCACGTGGGAGCATGCGCTCCCAACACTGGGAAGAGGGAGGGGAAAGGTCCAGAGCCTCTGGCTCACCCGGCAGCCCAGTGCATGCAGCAGGAGTCAGCCCTGCTCCCCCCGGTCACTGGTGGAGGTGGGGAGTGGAGCAGAGCAATGAGGCCTTGACCCACTCCGCTCCCCGCAGCTGTCAGCCACTTCTCTCGGGAGAGGGACTGCTTCCGCATTGGCAGGAAGCGAGCAACACGGTTGGCAGCTGGGGGAGTGGAATGGGCTGTGACTGTGTCACTCTGCTTCCTCCCAACACTGCCAGTGAGTGGGGGGGGATGTTCTCTACTGTGGATGCCAGGCCCTTCTGCCAGTCCCCCAAGCTGCGATGCTCAGGAAGGGTTTGGAGGAGGAGGGGAAGAGCCAGGGTGGGGGTGGAGCACAGGTGGGGAGGGGGATGAGACAGAGCAGGGGCGGGGGGAGGGGTTGTCCTATCACTCCCCTGGGCTAGGGGTGATGCAAGGAGCAGTCACTGCAACTGGAGTTCAAGTATTCCTGACTACAATGAAGTACTTATTATTAACCCCTTGTAACCAATAGGTAAACTGAGGCATAGAGTGGCAATTTATCCAAAATGGATCTGTATCAGAGCTGGGACTACCACTCAGGAGTACTGATCTCCAGTTCACTTGCTTTACCTATTACAAAATAATATCTTGCTTAACAGAGCATATATTATGCGCCTATAGGGTTTGCTCTTGGACTTTTTTCACTGCTGTGTATTGCCCATTTCCCACCCTTTCACACCTTTAAGAAGTAAGTTTTAAAGGATGGAAGGTGGCAGATTTATAAAATGAGTTCACTCTCAAAATTCTTTTCTTATTACAAAAGCAAGGGAAAGAATAACATCTATTCAATCACGTTATTAAAATGTTCCAGAACTGCAGCACTAGTTTCCCAAAGAAAGAGCTATTTCTTAAAAATAAAAGATACCAGTCCCTTGTGGGCATGATTTTACAAAACACCAAAAAACAGCTAAAGAGAGGCAGAAAGCACTACTTCCATATTTGGAGAGTGATTTGAAATAGAAATAAAAGCTTAAAATAAAAATAATAATGCTCTTGTTTATAATTAAATTATTTGGGATTTTGGTAGAGTTAATTCTTCTTGATATGAAAAGGTTCCTAAATGCACCACATACTTTTAACAAGTCTTATACAGTCCTTTAAATTACATTTCTTCCTCGCTCTGAAATAAAACTTCAGATTGGTCAGGCACAACTTTCCCTTTGTGAATCCATGCTGACTATTCCTAATTACTTTCCTCTCTTCCAAGTGCCTCAAAATGGATTCCTTAAGGATCCCTTCCATGATTTTTCCAGGAACCAAGGTAAGACTGACCAGCCTATAGTTCCCTGGATTGTCCTTCTTCCCTTTTTTGAAGATGGGCACTACATTTGCCTTTTTCCAATCATCCGGGATTTCTCCCAATCTCCATGACTTTTCAAAGATAATGACATTTGCCAACTCCCTCAGTACCCTCGGATAAATTAAGTCCAGACCCATGGATTTGTGTACGTTTAGCTTTTCTAAATAGTTCCTAACCTGTTCTTTACCCACCAAGGGCTGTCTATCTTCATCCCATCTTGCATAACTTAGCGCATTAGTCCGGGAGCCCACCTTGTCCGTGAATTCAGAAGCAAAGAAAGCATTGAATACTTCAGCTTTCCCCACATCATCTGGCACTAAGTTACCTCCTTCATCCAGTAGGGGCCACACACCCTCTCTGATCACCTTCTTCTTGTTAACATGCCTGTAGAAACCTTTCTTGTTATCCTTCACATCCTGAGCCAGTCGGAATTCCATTTGCGCTTTCGCCTTCCTGATAACCCCCGGTAAAGCCCAGCACTTTCCTAAAGCAGTCTTTCTGCCTGCTCCATCCCCACACAGGCTGAGGCCATGCGCTCTGTGAATAACTAAGAGCCCCAGACGGGAGGGTGTATGGTGCTTCTTGGCTGCCTGTTATTAAACCAGGCAACTCCCATTGGCTAGTTTCTGGCCAAAGCCCAGCCAATGGGATTGTGCTGGGGGTGACAGCAGATCCTAAAGCCTTCCCCAATCCCCTCTGGGCTCACAGATTTTAAAGTGAAACTGCCCAGCAGCCGTGTTTCTGAGCAGCGTGCAGGTGGGTGAGGCAGGCGGTGAGCCTGCCTATCCACAGGCTGAATCAGGCCCGCGGGCCATATTTTGCCCAGGCCTGCTCAAGCTACTCTAAATGGTCCACGGGGTATCTCCTGGTGTGGGAGGAACCTGCAGAGGGTGCAATATTGGCTGGCTCTATGCATCTGTCTTCCCAGCTCCAACTGAAGCCCTCTATGTCAAGTGCAAGCCAGGGTATTCTTTGGGAAGTGGATGTGACTCTGGTGTTCTCCCACCTAAGCTGCCGTAACAGCCTATTGAGAAAGCAGGTTTATGCAGCTCAGTTCAAGTTAGGGCAGCACTGAGGCTGTGGATGTCCCCAGCTTGTCCAAGACATGGGAGATTCAAAAGTAACTTAAAGCCACCTTAGCCCTGCTTCAGGGCCCTGTGAATGAAATGTGAACCCACTATAATAGTGGTCTCCAAAGTAGAAGACATGTCGCCTTGGGGGAGCGGGTTTTGCAGGGCAACATTTGGGGGGTGAGGCAAGGCCCCCAGCTCCACTCTGGCCCCAGGTCCCAGGCACAGCTCCACATCAGCACTGCCCCCAGCTGCAGTCCCAGCCACGGCCCCCGATTCCCAGCCTGGCTGTGGCCCCACACCGAGTCATGGCCCCATCCTAGCCACAGACCTACCCCCAGATCTCAGCCTCTGGTTCCCCACCCAGCTGCAGCTCCCAACCACAGCATCAACCCTTGGCCCCAGCTGCGGTACCACTCCTAGTGCCAGCTCCCCAACCACAGCTGGGGCGGAGCATGGACAGGGACGAGAGAGGAGCACGAAGTAAAACATTTGAGTACCACTATGTTATAAGTTTGCTCTTACAACGACAAAATCTTCCCAATGAAGTAAGTGATGCAAGACACCGACCCAAGGGCTTGTGTGTAGATTGCAAGGGGAAATCAAAACATACTGGGTCTGATCTTCAACTCAAATCAGTCGACCGGAAGACTGGAGGTTCCGCATCTCTGCAGTCAAGGTCTGCCTTTCCAGATGGTGTTTAAATGTGTGCTCACAGTGGGATGTTTTACACACTGAATCCCAGCACTGCAGCTGGAACAAGTGTATAGCACCTTGCAAGCACCTTTCAAAATTTACACCAGATCATTAGGAAAACAAAATGCATATTAGTTCACTTTGTTTTGCTGCTGTATCTGCTGAAATGGATACCCACCAACAGCCAGCCCCAGTAAAAAAATACAAATGGCCCTGGATCAAATCATGAAATGTCTTGGTTCACAAAACATGAGTAAGCAGCTATATGTTTCTGAGTATGGGGAAAAATCCTGAATAGGGCCTTTGTGGATGGAGTTTTCAAAATCACTTAGCACTGGGCTCACTCTGCTCCCATTGAGCTCTGTTAAAAGCCCCATTGGCTTCAATGGGAGTACAGCTAGAACACTGAGTGTTTTTGAAAAGCCCACAATTCCTTTCGAGCTGATCGACTCTAACTTTCACCTGTAAAACCAGCAGCCAGGAGCTAAGAGGACTTTCTCCAAACCTCTCATCCAAAGACCGGAAAATACCTGTGGCTGGCTGCTCGTTTCTGCTGTGCATTGTTTCTTTCGATAGAAATGCAACACGTGACTGAAAAACACTGAATTGTGACGGGGCATCCACACCACACTTGCCGTGAAAGGGTTAATGAAGACTAAGAAGGTGGCTAATTAACCCAATGGGCTATGACGGAGAGGAATCAGGTGGCTAAGTAATTCCTGGCCTGACTGAAGGAGTCCAGCTGGAGAAGAACAAGCTGCATGGGGGCTATAAAGCCAGGAAGCTGGCAGCAGAAAGGGGCTGGTGGGAAAGTCTGCAGTCACTTCTCAGAAGGGAGGTGCATACGCAGAGATGGGGGACGATAGGACAGGGCTCAGGGAAAAGCGATAAGATCAAAAAGGCAACAAACTGCTGAGAAGGTCCTTAAGCCAAAATCCGGAATAGAGGGTGGTCCCAGATTTCCCGGATACACCCTGAGGGAGTGGCACAACAGGGCGGTAAATGGGAAGACTGCCTAGGACTGCTTGTGAGGAAAGACTTTCCAACTCCAGGAAGGGAAACCATTTTGTGATCTGGCCCAACGGCCAAGTCACAAAGTGGCAGCAGCAGCTCGTTGAGCAAGAGAAGATCTACAGACCCAGATAGGGAGGCATAGGAGAGCATGCAACTGCAAGGAGTGGTGGTCTCACAAGATATTCCTAGAGTGAACAGGAGGAGGCGCTGTTCTCATCCTGTTACATGGACCTTTCATTTTTAAATATATGTATTTATATAATGTAATCTCACCAAAATAAAATAAGCGGTGATTTATTGCTAGCTAAACACTGGAATATATTGCCTAGGGACACGATGAAACCTCTGTCATAGGAGACTTTTAAGAGCAGATTAGAAAGACACCTGTCAGGGGTAGTCTAGCTAATACTTTATCCTGTCTTGAGCGCAGGAGACTGGACTAAATAACCTATCAAGGTCCCTCCTAATTCTACAATTCTATGATTATTATACCTGTAATGAAGACGTGTGAGGCACTTTGACTTTGGTTATGTTGTCTGTGAACATGGTAGGAACTTCCACTTGAATATTCCAAGGCAAAGGAGCTGGCCCAAGCAAAAAGGAGTCAACCAATTCACCTAAAGCAGACACAAAACTGTAATGAGCACAAACACTAGATACTTCCTAACACCTGCAAGTAAATCATGCCACAACTATAGCAGTTATGTTGATCCCAGTGAAAGTGATTGACTAAAATCAGTACCATTTTATGTCAGAGTTCCACTGTTTACTAACCACAATTTCTTTCCTGCCCCAAAAAGAAAAATACATTATAACGAGCATTTTGTAAGCATAAACAAATCCAACTAAAATATTCAGTAAAAACAGTGTTAATGCAGCCTTCTCAACTCTCCTCTGAGAAATTAAGACTATAAAAAAACCTCACCAATATTTCCAAAATTCAGTCAACAACACTTATTGTGAACCCTAATCCTGCAAACACTTTAGTGCATGCTTATATTTATTACTGACACGAGTCCCAATTGAAATCAAGCTTAGCAAAGTTAAGAAAGTGCTTACCTGTTCGTGGGATCAAGAACTTATTAGTTACAAACAACTGTGTTAAATAATTGTTTGTTTCGTGTCCCCAATTAATAGAATGGGCAGTACTTATGGGGAAAAAAAAGAAAAAAGAAGAAAAAAAGAAAAAAAACCCTATGCGAAGTGGCAGCCAAGTAAAATCTTTTTTTCCCCCTCTGCTTCCCTTAGGAGGAACAGAATTATTCCATACCCGTTTGCCGAATGCCCAAATCAAATTCCCTCCATGATTACATGGTTCATCCAGATTCAGTCAAAAAAAGTTGCGAAATATCTTGAACATTTTAAAAAGTCATCCATTTTGCAAGTTGCAAAAAGGAATGATTATTGTTTTATTTAATTTTTTTCATGCAATCAAAAATTTTCATGGGTAGTGTCTTTCTCCATCAGCCCCCCTCCCCTTTCCCCTCTTTTCTTTCCCCTCCTTTTTTTTTTTTTTTTTTTGGCCTGTCAAAAAGAGAAGGAAAAGGAAAATTTAAAAAAATGGTTGAAAAAATGAAAATGATTCATTCCCAGTTAAATCAATAAAGCAAGGATTTTTTTCAATTTATGAAAAATTGGCCATTTTTCAAATGCTTGCTTTGAAAAATTTCAACCATATCTATATATGACATTTTGCTTGAGGGCTACCAGAACCCAAATCTCTTCTGGTTTGCCAACTTCTAATAACTCTGAACTGTTGACTATCACCTAGTTTCTATAACATTTGCCTTACAATGGACTGCAGCGTCCCCCCAGTTTACATTAAAACAGTGTAAATTAGGCATGAAGACATCCGAAAGCTCCAATATGCACCAGATCATTCATGTTCTTATGGAGTTAAATGCTTCCTTCACAGATATATATTTCATCATCCAAATACCCTAACTCTCACCACTGATCTAATCTATGTGATTTCCGCTATGCAAATAGTATAGCTAAAGTCGACATACTTACCGCAGCATTTTATATGCGGTAAGGTAGGTGGAGGTTGCTTTCCCATCTACGCTGTCTACTCTTCTCATCCTGGTGGAGTAGCAGCACCAATGGGAGAGCACTCGGAGACCATCTAACAATAATTTTCCGGCCAGTAGACTGATCGCTGCAGCGTCAATCCCCAGCATAGCAGAGACAAACCCTGAATAAATCACATACCATGCTCCTAAATTATGCCTAAGGTGGGTAACGACTTACGGTATATTTATCAATGCTTGTGTTTTATTTTATTTTTAATAACTGTTGTTTTGCAGCTGAGTAGAAAAGTACCTTTTCCTTTGCACATTTTTTATTAGCTTCTAGCAGAAATGCACAACGTAACAGGAAAACCTGTATTATAGAAGAGAATGATCATAGAACATGCTTACTATACATCAGAACCTTACATACCCTTGTAAGGTGATGTCTTCCATTCAGATGACCTGGATTCAGTGAAGGTCTCAAGCCGATACTACGAAATTAATTGCAAGATTGAAACAAACAAAAACCTGTAACAACCCCAAAGTGGGAGCAATTGGGCATTCAATGTGGTCTATACAAAAGCCCAACTGGAGCTGCAATCTGTAGAGTTTAGGAAAGTAGATTCGCATTAGCCAAAATAATGACCAATCTCATTGTTAATAGGATGAGGTGATATCTTCATAGAATGTGTATTTTGGGCCTTAGCCAAAGTCCACCAACGTCAACAGGAGACTTTCAGTTGTAATCAAAGTTCTTTTGATCAGGCCCTATACTCTTAAAATTAAAAATGCCAATGAGACCAGTGCACCTGCTCTCTTCAATTCCTGTTTATTTTTGTTTTCGTCATTCCGCACCCCCGCCCCGCTTTTTTTTTTAAACCTTCTCATTGGGCTATTTTCCCTCATGTCCTCCTCCTCTTCTATTCCCACATCCTTTTGCTCTTCACTCAATTCATCTAAGCAAATTCCACCTATCTGTGAGGTTTCTAGAGTACAAGTCACTGTGGAATATTTGCTGTTTGAAATTCAGTCACTGATCCTATTAATTAACAATGGCTATATCCAAAAGTTATTTCTCTCTCTGACATTGTTTACACTGTCAGTTTTTCAGAACATCTCCCACTGTTCACTAACAATGGTGCAACTCTAATAGTTCTAGTCGTGGTCTATACTGATGGACAGCTGACCCTTTTAATCCATATCCTTAACCTATTTGGAGCAGGGATCTCAATGCAATATATATCTTAAAAGACTTGACAGTGGTGACAAGGTCCATAAAAATGGAATCAAATAATGAACCAAGCAATCACTGAACAGCGACAAAGTGGAAGCAGCTCTTTCCTGTCATTATAAAGATTACATTCCTTCATGATTTCCTCAGATGCTGAAAGCAAGCAAGTGTAACACCAGCAGACATCTGTAGGTGGAATCGAACCTGGCCCCTCTGAAGCTTAGTGTATGAGTTAAAGGTCAGTGGGCTAATAGCTAGGGTATGACGTTCATTATTCTCTCTGCAAGTTCTCTCTGTGCCACTAGATGGAATAGCACACCACACCCAGAAGGTGTGTGGGTTACAGAAACACAATTCCAAACTGAAGCTAACCACACTATCCCAACTGGAATTTCTCAAAACGGGGGCTATTGCATGGAATAGGCAATTTGCAGTAGAATGCCCAGCTCTGTTGAAGTTCAATAGAGCTTCAACAAACTCCATTTACTTCAATATGAGTAAGTTGGGCTACAAAAACTGGACATACTCTGTAGGTGTTGAATGGCTGCAGATTCCGAAACACCATTTCCTTGGCAGGAGCAGAGCTGTAGCAGCAATTCCTGGCTGCGTACTGCATCAGAGCTTCTTTGGCTTCATCTTCTGAAATAGAAGGAATGCTATAAAAAGAGATAAGAAAGAGCGGACTGGTTTGAAATTGGTTTTCAATTTTCAGAGTGATTTCCCCACGCACTAAACATCTACCTGTCCCCACCTCTGCCTAATTTACACAGCACGCCACTGCACTGACAGAAAAGTGCTGGATAAGATGACCTAGTCCAACGAGCATCAGGTATAGAAAAAGCTAGACTCTTCTAGGGCATGTCTACACTAGGAAATTATTTCAAAATAATAACTCCCAAAATAACTATTTTGAATTAAGCATTATTCTTCATTGAAGCAGGCGTTATTTCAAAATAACCAGACCCTTATTTCAAAACAACAAGCTTGGTAGTATAGACGTTCCACTTGTTATTTCAAAATAAGAAGAGTTAGTTCAAATCCCAACCAGGGTAACGCATGATCTCCAAAGCAGAGAGGTAGTTTAGGATGAGAGGTGTTTAGAGTGAGGTCCTGTCAGTATCCCAGGGGCACTGCTACCTGGTTTTCAACCACCAGGTCCGCTTGTATTACAGAATGCACAAATATATGCCTATTGTGCACCTCAGACATGTGCATGTTAAATCCCTGAATTTGTTCACCAATGGCTAAATGCATGCTTATCTATTCAGCAACATATGCTGATCATGGCTTTGTGCACACCTATTTTGATGTGTAGGTACTAGGGATGTAAAGAGGCAGAGAATAAGCTAACAGTGTAGTTGATGACAATTTTATCAACTACACAATTAGTCGATAAGGGAAGTTAACCTCCATTTTGGCTCTACAGTTTAAATATAGTAAGAGCCAGCCGGGCAGGCAGCCCTTCTCCTACTATATTTAAACTGCAGAGCCGCAGTGGGGGTAGGTCCCGAACCTGGCACAAGCTTGGACTAAGCCGGGCTTGCTCAGCACCGGCTCCTACTTCCCTCGGGGGAATACGAGTAGTCGACTCAACTAACCAATAAGCCTAGGCTTATCGGTTAGTCGACTATTCACTTGCATCCCTAGAAGGCACTCACATGCTAACTGGGAGAGCTGAAAATGTGGAGGCTCTAAAACTACCGTAGCAGTACTAATAAGAGCAGTATTTGACCCCGTGTCACTGGTCAAAAATTATTCCCTCTCCTATAAGCAGCATGCCAGCTGGCTGCCATACTCTCATGAGCGGTACTGATTGTGCTTAGTTTGCAAAGGATGCAAGGTAACTCTCAGCCATCATCATAACATTTGAAAACACATCTTACTTCCAATGTGTTTGGGCTGGCGGGTGCTGCCCACCTCCACGATCAGTCACCAGATTGGAGGGAGGAGGTAAATCTTTTCCTCCTGTCAGAAACAAAAAGGTTGGTTTCGTACAGGTATGGAGAGCCAGACAAACTTCTCCTTCAACTCCCGTCTGCTTTTGAAATAAGCTCCCCCCCTTCTATCTTGATTGAATTAACGGCATCTGACTAGCACAGGGGACAGTCAAAATATCAGAGGAAAACTGATCCTTTGGCAGGGAGTGGGGTGGCAGGAGGGAGAAAATTCATGGGTACACTTTAGAGATGTTAGGAGTTTAACTGACCATTTAATTTATAAACTGATGCTTATCAGTTAATGGTATCAGTTAAACTCCACCGGCCCCCAGGAAGACGGCTTCATTGCAGCAAGCCAGCGAAGCCTCCTCCCCAGGAGCCAGGCAGGCAAGGACTGCCGGCTCCACTGGAACCGGGCCGGTAGGAGCTGGCAACCCTGCTCCTGGTGAAGCTTCACTGTATAAAGCTCATCTTACTAAACTTTATACTGCAGAGCCTGCAGCGTGGGAAACCATGTAACCACTAAGATTTTTAGCGATTACACAGTTACTGTATTAAACATTTTTTAACGACCCTAGTACTTTTACTGGGTGATTCATCAGTGTCAGAGAGGCAAATGTGTGGCACCGCGAAGATAGGGGGCTGAGGGATAGGTGCGAGTCATTTGCAACTCTTGGAAGTTGTTGATCTCAGTAAAATCTCTTCCCCACCCCCAGCACTTGGGAAAAATATTATTTTTCAGTATTATATATAATTATCTTCCTGATGTCCTGTTCAAATGCTAATGCCACAGATAAGAAGATTAATTTCAGGAATATGGAAAACACTGTCAATCAACTGGTACAGTAAAAAGAATAGCCTGTGGGTTTCTGTGCTCACCATCATCTCCCAGAGCTGTGCCTTCATAGCCAGAGACATCATCTATGGCATAAGCAGGAGGAGCAGATGGTTCTTCTCCACTGGGCGTGTGATCAGGAACAACAGCACCTACAGCATAAAAGAATTAGCAATAGAAAGTTGCTCTCACTCAAACTTTCAATGAGCCAATGAGGGTCCTGGGTGTCGAGTGCTTTGTATTGGGCCTTATGCTCCTCCCAGTCACATCAGATACAGAAAGGGGCAACAAAAACAATCAGGGGTATGGAAGCTTTTCTATATGAGGAAATTAATAAGACCAGGACTTTTCAGCTTGGAAAAGCGATGATGGGCAGGGGAGCAGGATACGATGGAGATCTATAAAATCATAACTGGTGTGCAGTACGTAAATAAGAAAGCGTGATTTACTCCTTATAATACAAGAGTGAGGGCTCACCAAATGAAATTAATAGGCAGCAGGTTTAAAACAATCAAAAGGAAATATTTCTTCACACAAAGCATAGTCAACCTATGGAACTTTTTGCCAAAAGATGTTGTGAAGGCCAAGACTATAACAGGGTTTAAAAAAGAACTAGATAAATTCATAGTGGATAGGTCCATCAATGCAGTTAGGCAGGATGGGCAGTGATACAAAAGCAAGCTCTGAAGTGTCCCTAGCTTCTATTTGCCAGAAGCTGGGAATAGGTGACAGGGGATGGACCACATGATGATTACCTGTTCTATTCATTCCCTTGAAAGCACCTGGCATTGGCCAGTGTCAGAAAACAGGATAGTGGACTAGATGGTCCATTGGTCTGACCAAGCTGTTCTTATCACAGCTACGCTATTACAAACCTGACGTGAGAAGAGAATCAGACCCCATTTTTAATCAAGTAAGTGTTTGAGATACGCCTGGAAGTTTTGCCATAAGGCCAATCTTATCTTTTATATGCAGAAAACTAGTTGTTGTGGCACAGCTGGGTCATGGAGTTTTTATACCATGTGAGGAATGGGGGGATTCAAAGGAAAAGATCGTGAACTTCTGCTTTAGGGAGTATATAAATAACAGTGACCAACTCCTCTGCTGAAATAAGCTGGTGGAGCCTCACTGACTGCAGAGGAGCGACAATGCTTTACACATGCCAGTTGAGGATCTGACTCCAATGTATATAGCAGATAGTATATAGTTTACTAGAGGACTTACTCAGCGTTGAAGAGGTCCGACCCAGGGCAGAGGTGGGGTCGCACACCCTGCCTGCTGGCTTTGGGGTGGCTCGGAGTGGGAACTGCATATGCCTCCTGCTGGCGCAGTCTGGGCCCGGGGGTGGGGACTGCGTAGCAGCCAGCAGCTGCTCCCCAGGGCAGACCAAGGTGTTGGCTGCTGCCGGCCAGTGGCTTCTCACTGCAGCGCTTGCTGCCTCCCTGTGGTCATTCCACAGTATAGCTATTCCTCCTATCAGACCCCTCCCTCTCCATTTTATGAGAAACAATCGTATTCCACACACATCTCATTGTCCTGGCACAACTAAACCCTAAGGGTAAGAGGAAGATGCAAGCCAAATTTGGTGGTTCTAGCTCTTATCGTTTTTGTGGAGCTCTTGAACCAACAGACTCACAGGCAGACAGACAGACATTTCTGAACTCTACAGACAGAAAACAATGGACATGTGCTATTTTTCAAACATTAGTATCATAAAAGTCATTGATTACTAGGGTTTTCATACCAAAAGATCCTTCAGGAGGGGCATAAGGCATCTGATCAATAGCTCCATAACTCTCTCTGGGACCTCTAATAAAAAAAAGCAAAAGAAAACAGACAATTTGAGTGGTTAGGAATAAACATGTTCAAAGATGGCAAATGGGGAAGCAGAGACAGGAAAAGGAGAACTGGAGTAATGCAGAAGGGCATATGTAGAGAGAGCTCAAGAATCTTTTTGCTCGTAAGACATTTTCTGAAGTCTTTGGAACTTATAGAAGCATTCATATGCTTGAAGCTGAGCATTTTTGAAGATCAGGCCACTTATTTAGTTACCTACATCAGATTTGACTTACTAATTTAGGCATTGACTTTTGTAAATCTCAGCCACTGTGCCTAGTTGAGAGGGAAATTTTTTTCCCCTTTTAAAGAACCCTGGACGTACCAGTCTAGAATATGTTTTATAATTTGTACAGGGGAACGAACGGTGAGCTTTGCATTTCATATGCCAAGCTATAATTTTATTTAGCTGACTTTTGAACCTCAGTTACAAGACTCTCTGATTGAAAGATACTCCTATCCACATTCTGAAAGGCCATTATGATACCACTTAATATCCCATGCTTTCTAGATCAGAACTCTCATCAAAGAACTTAGCCTTGCTCAGGTAACCACTTAAGACGCTCCACATCTTGAAAGTCTTCATTGGCATTTCCATTTTAACACGGGGTTATGGAGATGTAAACTCTGAAAATTTTGATCTACACTGGAAAGTTCCACTAAATCTGTGTCTTCATAACAGTTGTTTATAGAATCACTGTGCCTCACTGTTTGAAGGATCCATTTAAAAATCGTTATACTGTATTAGAAACTTAGCACAAGGAAAACTGCCTTTAACATAAGCAAAACGAGGGGCCAAATACCATGTTATTAACACACTACAGTTTCATGGCCAACACGTGAAAAGCAACAAGTCTTAGCTCAGTGGTTACATATACTGAACACAGCCCATAGCACTGCATCACTTTCATTGAACCATCTAGTCCCTGGATGGCAGAGAAATAAGATCAGCACCTGGAATGTGTCTGTTGTTAGGTGGTTCCCATGTCCTCCTAGGACAGACACATCCCACTAGAATGACAGAACGGTCTCAGCCTTCAGAGTGAAACACAAGTATGCAGGAGACAGAGCTATTTCTGAGCCCTGCCACAGACCCGGAACTCACTCTTGAATTATATCCACCTCCATGCATTCAAAGGAAAATTCACAGCCCAATGCTTTAACCCCACAGGGTCTATCTAACCAGTGCTGAAGCAGTAGCTTCTGTGCTGTTATAGTGAACTAGCCACATGCGGCTAGCATTTTGAACACCATGGCTTTAACCCAACCAGCTAAAACACTAGGACACACACAGCACAGACCTTGCTAACAGGGAGGGGCAGAAATACCAGAACCTGTTGCTGGTGTAAGTCATTGACTTCAATGGCGCCACACAGAGATTCACACCAGGCCTGGATCCGGCCCCACATCCGTTGGCGGGAGCTCTGCTGACCCCCCCACTCTGCAGCTACAACCCTGAGCCCCATTTCCTCCCCCACGGTGACGCCAAAGCCCGAGGGCCACACGGGGCTGGGCTACGGGCGCACGGGCCAAGGCTTTCCCAGGAGAGGGACCTGCAGGAAGCGAGCGCCCGGTCTGGGGGTCAGGCCTCCGCCCATGGGCTGTATCTGGGGGGTACCGGCGCAGGGCGCTTGGCTGGAGGGGACACAGCGGAGCATCCCGGATCTCCGCCTCCCTCGCCCCAGCCCCGCGCTAGGGCAGGCAGAGGCCCCGGGAACAGAACAGAACCGAAAGCGAAAGGCGCGCAGGCGGCTGCAGCCCCTCGAGGGTCGCCGCGCAGCCCCGAAGTGGAGAAGCCCTGACCTGATCGCCTGGCCCTCCGCTGCCATGGCTGGTGGGCGCCTGGGCTTGGCCTCGCCCCCGGCTCCCACCCACTCGTTGGCCGCTGCTGCGCCTGGGGGGGAAGCCACTGCCGGCTACGCCCTCGGCCCGCTTCGTGGGCTGGGCTGCTCGGCGGCGGGGGCTGGGGCAGCGAAGAGAAGAAAGCAGCGTGGGCAGAGCAGCCTCCTCCGCTGCTTTACCGCAGCCCGGGCCATGAACGCTGCCAGAGGCTAGTCCCTGCCCGGGCTGGCTGCCGCAGCGCCTGCTCCTCGGGGCAGAGGTTCTAGGCTCCGACCTGGAGGGCAGCTGTTACTTTGCGGGTGTGTTCATTGGGGGCAACTTCGCGGTGGTCGCTGCAAGCGAGCTCTGTTGCGCCACTCAAACGCGGACACCTGTGTCTAAGCGACATGGCTCCTTCCATGGAGCCATGTAGATTAGGCTGATCGGCAAAGGGAAATGAAGCCCCGATTTAAATAATCGCGGCTTCAGCTGAGCAGACAAACAGCTGATCAGCTGTTTGTTGGCTGAGCGTGCTAGTCTGGATGCTTAGGCACCCACATGAAAGCCCTTTATCACCTCCCCATTATGCCTCCTAGGATGAGGTTTACCGGGGAGGTCGATAAAGGGCTTTCATGTTGGCAGGGGAGCATCCAGACTAGCCTGCTCAGCCGACAAACAGCTGATCAGCTGTTTGTGGGCTCAGCCTGGCAGCCATTTAAATTTAAATGAAGCCCGGATTATTTAAATGGGGGCTTCATTTCCCTTTGCCTTCATTTCCCTTTTCCGAACAAACAAATCTACATGGCTCCTTCAACGGAGCCATGTAGTTTAGACACACCCTGTAGGGACCCCGCCTGGACTCTGGAAAGACTGGTGGTGTTGGGTTCAGTCCTTGTGTAAATATACACAGCCAGTGCTGCTGTCAGCTGTTGCCTTGGGGGGGGGGGGGGGGAAAATACATACTGTCCCCCAAGGAGATTCCTGTGAATAGTTAATTAGGGAGTCCCTGAATATTTTAACTCTTTTTTTCAGTGCTGCACCCCAGGTATAACTCTCCCAGGTGGCATTCAGCGCGGATACAAAATATGTGTCCGCATCTGTATCTGCAAAAATGAGCGGTGGAGATCCACATTGACATCTGCAGGTGCGGATACGTGTGGCTATAAAGTGGATATACGCACACTTTCAGGGTTGTACGCACAGGGCTTGTATTGTGTGCAGATGGCTTACCATCACCTGTTTTCAGAAGAGACTTCACTGGCATTTTCCTGGGGCGGCTTGGCTCCTGCTGGAAGACTGCTCAGGGGACACAGTTTTTAAAGGGTCCAGAGGTATCCCAAAATAGCTCCCCCACGTCGACACAAGCCACCCGTTATTTCGAAGCATTTTTCAAAATAACGGGCGGGCTATTTCGTCATCCCGGTAAACCTTGTTGCACCAGGAATAAGGGATAGCTTGAAATAGTGCTTTATTTTGAAATTTGGTGCTGTATAGATGCACCAAATTTCAAAATAAGCTATCTCAAAATAAAATCAAAATAAGATACGCAATTTGTATAGTACAATTATTTTGAGTTTAGGGTACAGTGTAGATGCACCCTTTCTGAACATCTGAGTTGGTATGGCCAAAGACCACTGGCAAGAGATTGATTTATTTTCTTTTCCACAATCATAAAAAATTATTTTAAATTAAAGATTTTGGATTTCAAAGGAAGGAATGCTCTTGCAAGTAAGGAACTGGACATAAGAGATGTGGGTTCAGCTTTGTCAGGGACTTAATGCATGAACTTGATCTAGTAACTTAATGTCACCAAGCATGAATTCCCTATCTCTAAAATGGGGTTAATGGTACTTCTTTTCCCCCATACTTTGACTTGTTTCTTTAGTCTTGTAAGTGCTTTGGGAATACGGTTGATCTCTCAGCATCTCTGTGTACAGTGATTAGTACAATGGGACCCTGAATTCAGCAGCTGACTAGAGATGTTACTGGAATACAAAAATAAAATTAATAATAATAATTAATAATTGAGTCCTCTTAAAGATCAGATTACATGCTGCTTTGCTATTAAATTCATATCTAAGATCTCTACATTTTTTATAGCATATGGATTCTTGTGGGTGCATATTGTTTGTTAGCCTTTATAGTTTTGTTCCTCTGGTCCTGCATATAGTCATTAGGCTGTGCTGTGTAGCAACGGTAAAAATCTATCGGTTGATTCAATATTGAGTTATACTGGCTTCTGCAGTCTACACTCAATAAGCGAAACCACTCCACTCCAACGTTCAAGACACAGGTCAAGGAGGGGCATGGCTAAACAGTGGAATGCACTGGCTCATTTTCTCATTCGTAAGGGACAGACTTCACTGCAAACATCCACCAACCTCCTGCTTGGGTGAATCCCTACCGACTTATGGCAGTGCAGCACATTTAAACTGTACACGGTATCACTCACCAACTGTTTAATGCAGCTTCTTGCAGGATGCTATAGCACAGCCATATTGTACAGCAAGCATGCACACTAGCTGTCGATTTTTAAAAGAGGACATGAAACTCGGAAAGAGATTTTTTGTTGTTGTTGGGCAGCATGCTGGTGGTTGAAGGGGGAAGCAGGATTCATTTGTATTGTTATCTTTTCTTTTTCACTTGGCCTTTCACATGACTGATCCTCACATGGTGTGCCACTGAAGAGAGGAACTTCACTAACACAGCAGCACAAACACTCAGTCATTTTTAGTCTTCAACGTGTGGGGAGGAAGTGATACTTTAAAAGTGACGTAAAAATATTTAGCTTTGTCATCGCTAATGCCTGTCCAGTTTTATATGCCTAACCATAGGATGTTCAACAGGGCTGCATCCGGAGGAAGAAAGCCATAAGTATCTCACTGGACCTTCATTCTCCTGAGCATATGTCTTCTTAGAATAGCAAGAAAATGCACATAGAGAAAAAATAACAAAGAATGACATGTAATTCGATTTCACTCTGCTGCATGGGTTAGGGCAGAACTATAAATGGAACAGGAAAATTCTGGAGCATAAAATCTCCAAGGATTCAGAATGGGAAGAATCTTCTCAATTGAAAATGGAATGAGGACATGGACACTATCCCATTTTGGTCAATTTAGGAAGCAAACCTGCCACCTGGAGTGGTGGGGAATAAGCTAAATCCAGGATCAGGGATGTAAGCAACTAATCGAATAGTTGACTATCCGATAAGCAAAAGCTTATCAGATAGTCAACCCACTAGTCAACTAGTCATTTCCTCCCACCCCCTCCCTTGCTGCCTCCATCAGAAGGAGGAGGTGTTGGGGAGAGCCAGCTTAAAAACCAGTTCCCCCCAGCTCCAGCTCTGTGGGGGTGCAGCAGTGGTGTTCCACCATTGAAATGTACAAGAGCCCCAGCAGGAGCTCTTGTGCATTTAAAAGATTGAAACATTGCATGGAGCCTGGGGCCAGCGAGGAGTCCCACACTAGCAGGGCCTCAAGTTCCATGAGGCATTTCAATCTTTGAAAATGCACAAGAGCCCGCTGCAGGTAGCAGGACTTGAGGAACAGGCATTCTGCTAGGACAACCCATTGGGGCTGCCATTGAGTAACACTGACTCTACAGCCTTCCCAAAAGCTTTGTTTTTTCCATAGAAGAGAGTCAAGTGATTCATTGGAAGAGCAGACTTAGCCTGGAACTCAAGAGGTGGGTTCAGCTCCAGGCTTTCATAGCCTTCATGTGTGACGTTCGGTATTATTTATTTATTGTGTGATTATAGTGGACCAGGCCCCCATCGTGCTACGCACTGTACAAACTCAAAACAAAAAGACGGACCCTGCAGCAACAGGCTTACAATCTAGGAGTGAGCCAAGAGACAACGGATAAATACAGGCATACCAACTGGGGAGTAAAAGGAAACAAAGAAACAGTATTGACCAGCATGATTGGCAGTGGGCGTAGCACACTGGCTCTCTACATGAGTCTAACAGTGCCCTGCCTTCCCAGGGTTGTTATACCTTCATTGATGTTTATAGAGCTCTCAGATTCTGAGAGCGGAACCATACTAATAACAAAATTACTTCACTTTTAAATAACGTTAGGGTTTCAAACCTGTAGCTGAATTATGCAATAATTTATTTCATTCCAATACTGGTGGGGCTGATGAGAATCTTCGCCGGGTGCTAAGGGGAGCCATCTCCAAGCCCTCTAGAGTGGGGGGCGGGGGGAGTTTCAAGCAGAAGCGGCAGGGCTGGGGCTACAGGGTGCATGCCACCACACTGGTGGCCATTTAAAGGGCCCAGGACTACAGCCACTTCTGCTGCCAAGATAACAGCAGCCAGGAGCCTCTGGTCCTTTCAAATCATCTGGCTCTGGGGCAGCAGCCCCCTTCCCTGTTTCCCCCTTTCCTCATCTGGAAGAATGCTAGAGGTCTTTGGTGAAATCCTGGCTCTGTTGCTGTCATTGCGAGTTTTGTCACTGATTTCGGTGGAGCCAGGATTTCATCCTTTATCTACAGAATTCCTCAGATGCAGGACCTCCCTCACCAAGAAGACCACAGCTAAAAGCTTTTAAAAACATAGCACACATTCATGACCCTTTTGGAGGCTCTTGGATATGAGATTGTTTTGTTTTGGCCTTTGTATTCCTGAATGAGAGGTAACACGTCTTGTAACCTTGTTCAAAATCATTCTGGACTTGGTTATTTACACCGGGAGAAGCAATGCAAATGATGTCTACTTTGCAAAACAAATATCTTAACAATGATGGATGAAGCCATGTAAGCCCTTTACACATATTCTCCGCTTGCAAATGTAAATGCAAATACCCAACTGATTTCCACAGTTAGCCTAACTCAAAATCTCCATGGATCAGATAGGTAATCCACAACTGCGCTGACAAAGAATCAAGTACGTCTATAAATACAGCCTGGCATGGGAATAATTGCTGCAATTTATTTTATGTTATCAACAGAGTGAGATAAGGAGAAAGAAAGGCACATCAACAAAAAATGGAAAAACTCTGAGCAAATCGGGTCTGTACTTGTATGCTGAACATGTAAACAAAATTCAATGAATACCAAATTTATTTAAAAAATGGAAAGAAATATCAAAGTGAATTGAACTGAAACATAAATCAAAAGCCAGTTTGTCCTGT